CAAGTTCAGATAACTCCAGTATTCATTTAATTTTCTAATTTCGCTCTTTTTAAATCTGCGTCATCTCGAGTGAATGATTTCATCATAGGCCTATAGTTTACATTAATAATTTATCCAAGTTAAAACCTACCTCATTAAAAATCACAAGACCAAATCACATTCTAAAATAATTCCACTACACATAGATTTATATTTAGTATTCTGTCAATAATACAGAAGAATGAAGAGCAGTGGCGTAGCGAGGTCGGGTAGCACCCGTTGCGGCACTTAATGGTGTCACCCCCCAGATGCGTAACGACCCTTCCCGGGACAAACTTTCGATTTGCACCCCCCGCCCTTAAGTTTTTCTCTATATATTTTGCTATTTTTACTTTCTCGTATAGAGCAAGTCTTGTAATCGAGCAAAATCTCGACGTTTTACACCTCACTGATACGGAAAAACATAATTTTGCAATATTGTCCGTATGTCTGTGTGTCTGTCTGTCTGTGTGTAAACACGATAACTTGAGTACCGTTACAGCTAGGTTGATGAAATTTCATATATAAGTATTTTATCAAAATCGTAGATCCTGATCAACTTTTGAGCGATTTCCGATAACCGTAAGTGGTACTTTTTCTACTTTGAATTTTCCAAAAGCCTATAACTTGAGTACTATGTCATATAGATAAATGAAATTTCACATATAAGTAAAAGATCTAATTCTCTACCGTCTGTCAAAGTTTGAGTAATTTCCGTTGACCGAAAGTACTTCTTCCTTCCTTCCTTATACGGAAACCGGCTCAGAAGGTTGACTTCCATTAGCCAGGCAGGCCTCAGTGTAGCAAACTCCGACCACAAGAGTTTCCCACACATCTGTCGCTACTTCCGTCGGTTCTCGCCGGGCTTTCCTTCCACACCAACCAGGCTCGGGACGTCGTCCTACCGCCTGGTACCCAGCTTGATCGTGGGGGGCGTTCGAAAAAAATATGGAACGCTTCACGAATTTGCGTCCGATTTCTCAAAAACGCACGTAAATTTATAAAGTACCAATAATATCCCGCACTATTATGCACATTTTATTAGGCGTTCACTTAGTGTGCAATTCTTTTTTTTTTACGAGATTCCATTCTGTTATAAAAAGTTTAAGTAATTAAAAATGGATTACAAATATTGTCGATGTCCTGAGTTGCCATTCCTCGTAGTTTTATATTAGAATATCCGAGAAAGTTTAGGGGAGATCACTCCCGGTTTATTTGCCTTGGTGTCACCCCCCTAAATGGTGTCACCCGCTGCGGTTCGCACCTGGTTTTGAAAAGAGATGTGTGATCTGGCCCATACAAATTTTAAAGGACGCAACAAACTTTTGTTGTGCCGTGAACAATAAGGTTTAAAAAACTTCGACCAGTTAAAATTGAACGGATCAATTCCGGGGTTGCCGGAACTTGAAATAAGTTTGTTCAAATCTTTTTGTCGATGATTCCATTAAATATTAATTAATAGTTTTGGCCTCCCATCCCTATAAGAATAAATTCATTTGCCCATACCAATATTTCATTGTAATCTCTCAAAACAACAGACGAGTTGATCGAGTGGACACAACATAGAGATACCTAGAGACGCTTTACATTACACATTGTTATCAATTTGAAAGCACTTATTCAAACAACTGCTGATGACTTGACGGTTAGTTGGCTTGCTGTTGATGACTTGGCTAGTTGGCTTGCTGTTGATGAAGTGACGGCTAGATGGCTTGCTGTTGATGACTTGGCTAGTTGCCTTGCTGTTGACGAAGTGACGGCTAGTTGGCTTGCTGTTGATGAAGTGACGGCTAGTTGGCTTGCTGCTAATGACGTGACGGCTAGTTGGCTTGCTGTTGAAAACTTGGCTAGTTGGTTTGCTGTTGATGTCTTGGCTAGTTGGCTTGCTGTTGATGACTTGGCTAGTTGTGCATGCTGTTGATGACTTGGTTTGTTGTCTATCCTTGGTATTAACATCTATCACTATATATTTCGTACTAATTTGACGGCTAGTTGGTTTGCTGTTGGCTTGCTGTTGATGACTTGTCTAGTTGGCTTGCTGTTGATGTCTTGTCTAGTTAGCTTGCTGTTGATGTCTTGGTTAGTTGGCTTGCTGTTGATGACTTGGCTAGTTGGCTTGCTGTTGATGTCTTGGTTTGTTGTCTATCACTATATATTTCGTACTAATTTGACGGCTAGTTGGCTTGCTGTTGATGAATTGACCGTCTCTTCTCACCCCCCCCCCCGCTCAACGAAATGAAATTTATATAGAAATATACTTTTACCAGTGTCCACCTTCCTCTCCCCCTGGAAAATGTAGTCCGCCTCCCTCCACCCCCGAAAATGTCAAGTGCCCCCTCTCCCCCGGAGAAAAAAGTCTGAAATGAACAGTGCATGGAAATTAACTTTTAATGTTCATGTTGAAAAGGTAAACACATGCCGTTTCATTGAAATAATTATACATTCGTCCTGTTTATTTTTTATTGTGATCATATCTCCTCTCCCATTAGTGTCCCAAATTTTGAATTTAGCCTGTCCCAATTTTCACCACCCCTCCCTACATGTTACAACTAAAATGACTTTTAAATTGTATATCAGGTACGGCAACGTTGTCTATCCTGGGTTTTAACATCTGTTTCTCTAGATTTCCTACTAATTTTAAATAGTATTCATAATATGTCAACTATATATAGAAGCAGAGTGGCGCAGTGGAAGCGTGCTAGGCCCATAACCCGTGGATCGAAACCACGCTCTGCTAGATTTCTTTTGTGAAGAAAATGTCACAATTTTGCATAAGCACACGTTGGGTTAAAAGCTAAATAAAATGACATTATGAGGGAAATGTAAGTACTGTTGTGTATATTGAATTAATTTTGGAAAGATATTTGGTATCAAGCTTTAAGTTGGATTAAGTATTTCAACACGGAGGTTTTATCTGTGTTTTGGATTCTCGTTTTTGTTTTAGTCTAATATTTTTTTTTGCATTTATATTAATAGTTTTGAATGTCAATCTTTATTATTTCTTATTTTAATAATAATTTAAAAAAACAAGTTAATAAAAAAGTCTAGTGACATTTAAGCGCAATTTCCTTATGTTATCTAAAAATAGCTCTGTCGTAGGGTTAGTAAAACCATTGGTTAGTTATTAAAACGTTTTTTATTAAAAAAAAATTTCAGTATTTTACATGTTTTATTTACAATAGAGTTACATGACTAAAAACCATTGCGCGCCTAGCTACCGAACGTGATGGCGCAGCCACTGACCGTGATGGCGCAGCTATTGAACGTGATGACGCGTGTGGTGTGGTTGGATAAAAATGCCTAGTAATTCGGTCCAAATTTTAATTAATTCAAAAAACATTTTGTGACCGAATGAAAGGATATTTTTGAAAACTTTCTTCGGCAATATTGTTCTAAATTATGGCAGGAATCGATTGGTAAAGTCATCGATATTGCTTCGTTGAGGAGGAGATACGACTTAAAGCTGCGGACATACATCCATCCATCCATCCATTCATACATTCATACATCCAGAAATGACGGGTTAATAAACGCAATTCTCCAGAAAGGAAAATGCGCTAAAAAGAAATTCCTTTTTAATTAAAATCGCCTCTGTACAAAACTATTAAAATATAACTCTTTGGACACGTCTATTAGAGTATTTATAAGGAGCAATAAGTCATGGAAGTGGTTTTAAGGGGAAACAACTCAATAAAATTTAAAAAGAACTTACTACATAAAGTAAAGTTTAACACGATTTAGATTATTTTTGAGTATGGGAGGTGTCGGAAGTTTGTGACGATATTTGAATAGATGGTGAAGCACAATAATTGTGACGCCATTTATAAACAACCAATTAAAGGAAAATTATATAGCTATTTCAATAAGAAATGTTTGTTAATAAGCAAAATAATCAAGGTTTTGATCCATCATGGTTCGATTACGATAACGGCGGTGACATGAACAGTAGAGGTCAAGAATTACCACAGAATATAATGCAATGGTTGAAATGTGTCACTATAGTTCAAGGGATACAACCACGAAATGACAACGTTATCTAAACTTGGTGTCTAAAGTAACCTGTACTTAATGGTCAAGCTGGTTTTGTACAACGTAAAAACTATTTATACTTGCACACACGCATCTACAGATTAACAAACAGCTCCAGTCAAATTTTATGTTGTGTTTGTAAAACAAAAATATTTTTATTTTTTTAGTTTTTTTTTAATGGCACAGCATACAAGTTTTAGTTCCAGCCGTTTCAATCTGGTGTTGTTATTTATAAAAAATCCATTCTGTTTCGCTCCCGTAATCTTGGGTTAAAGCTTCCAACAAAAAAAAAACCCCTCTCTATAAATATTTAACTCCTCAGTGTTGCCCAGATTTCCTTAAGACAAATTTGCTTCTGTTTTGTCCTCTTAACCTAAATAAGTAGCTGAAGTGCTTCCGTCTAAACTAAGTTGTAAGACACCCCACCATCATCTTCCCCATATAGACCTACCAGCTGTGTGAATTAAACTCATTTCATGACAGATGTAATATACATTTTAAATTAACTATCTACACAGCTAAATCTAAAATATAGGACCTATACTTTTTTCCCAAGCGCAATTGTAGAAGAATAATCAAACTGAGTTTTATAATTCATTTGCATGTATATCTATTTTTTGTTTTGATTATAAGTTGTTACTTCATTAATTAGTTCGTCATTCTAGCATATACTATTTAGAGAGCAACGTTATCTACAATATATAGATATATCCTCTTTGTTAAACAACCTATGACCTATGTACAACCCAACTGCACTAATCTTAATGGACAGTTTTTTTTTATCCTTTAATTAAAAGTAATTGAAAGCACTTAAAGAGCGCTGGGTATTAAAAAAAAACACACCAACTACACACACTTTACAAGCAGATAAGTGGCTCGGGCGTCTCAAGTTTGGTGTGTCGTCTGACACGCTCCGCCGGTTTCCTTTTGTCAACGCTGCGTGTCGGACAACACAAATCTGGGCCTCGTCAGCCGTGTCAGTGTGACGTCACTAGGGGGAAACTACAGGTGTGTCGTACCGTTAGTTCCCCTGGTGAAAGATTCGAAAGTACTGTGACCATACTAGGATGAGTCTAGTCAAGGTATATGCCGCCTTGTTCTGCTTTTGTTTCGTGCTTGGTATACCCGTGTGTTGGGCTACCCCACAACCGCCCTCACATACACACGTGTGTGAGTTTACACCGACAAACGAGACCCAGTTCATCGACAGCATCTACCAGTTTTTCAACAAGGACAGCGGGACGAGAATCTTGGAGTACCACGTCAAGTTTGTAAACGTCAGTTCGGATTTCGATCTCAGCAAGCGCTCACGTAAAGACGCCTTTCAGCCATGGAGGTAAGTCGCCAGCATTTCTTGTTTGTTCTTGTGCTATTTTAACGATATATAGAGGGCCGGTCAGGAGTTTTTTGATTCAGCTAGGGACTAAAGACAATATTGATACTACTTCGTAGTATTTTAATAGTTAATAAAATAAAGTTTTCAGTAGGACGTGTTAAATCTATAGCCGAGGCCTTGTCTATACAATCATTGAGGACAGTGTGGCCTAGCGTTAGAGAGCTAGACTGCTAACCGAAAGCCTCGAGTTCGAATCCGGGTTCACGACGTCCCTGAGTCTACCCAACTCTGATGGGTATCTAACTCACGCCAGGGGATGTAAACTTGGCTGGGCATAGTGCTGATCACACTATCCCTTTATTTGCCGAGGTCACAGAAATAAGTAAACTCTACTTCATTTACCCCATGGACCGTCAGGTTCAAAAAGAGAACTTTACTATAAAATCATTCGATTCTCTCTTTTGTGTAGTCTTCCTGTACCAACTAATATTAGCAATCTACAGCATCAAATATAACGGTGTACACACCAAATGTCTACATATCACTGTTCTAGAACTCATAATGTTGATTCAAATTCCATGTAATATTTGTACACAACCACAGCCACGATATTGGGCTAGTTGTATTGTATTCCTATGAAACATTAGCTGTGGCCATCTTTTGGGTTCGTCGTCGCATAATACGAGCATGTAATCATGGAAAAAACACATATATATATATATATATATATATATATATATATATATATATATATATATATATATATATATATATATATATATATATATATATATAGGAATAGTGGAGTGTAATGACTCTGTAATAACATTATATCCATGTAATCACTTTATAACTCAGTTACTTTAATCTCGATGTAATGTGTCTGTCACCCCTCCCCCACCTCTCTTACCACTGACAGTGTACACACCGTTTAACTTATGTTTACACTAAGGCCGTGCATTGTTTAATGACCCGGTCTATTTTTAGACACACAGCGCATGCCTCCCCATCCTTCCCCGCCTACACCACGAATTAGACATGCCCAGGATACACCAATTACACTTTGATGCGGTACGTGATTAAACCTTTACCATGCGCAGCCCTCGTTTAATTCAATGTAAAAATCAGAGCCGAAAGGTCAAAGGCCGAACGTCTTTCCTTGCCATTGAATTCATTAAGTGCCGATGTAGACCGTGTGTCTTTTGCGTGTTGTGAAACTATGTTTGAGACGCAATAAAATGTTTTAATAGTGGCGTTATAATAAAAGCAGATCTTAGAGCTAGGTTGAGGAGTATTTTACGCATTGCAGTCACACATCGCCAGACTGTTAACCCGAAAGTCTCAAGTTCGGATCCCGTTGCTGAGTCTACCCAGCTCTGACGGGTACCTGACTTACGTAAGGAAATGTAAAGGCGGTTGGACATGGTGTATACACTACTATTCACCGCCATGCTGATATTGTTTAAATAGATGGACTCTACTTCATCTGCCCATTGTGTCTCGGGCACAAACGGAAAAAAATGATAATGATAAACGTCACAGAATAAAACTATTTAACAGGCCTATAATAAAAGCCCTACATTTTTTTTATAGCCAAAGGCAAACTTTAACAATAAGAAGATTTGAAGCCAAGTGTGTGTGTGGGGGGGGGGGGGGGGGGGATGGTGGTGTGGTTTGGATCACAATGATTCAGTACAAAACATTTCTGTTTTAACCGATTCAAATTTCAAAGTTCCAGAAATATCTTCAAATCTTGTTTAAACACTGCGCCGTGGTTTCTTGTGGCGCCACTCGAGTACTTGACGTTAAACCTTCGTCTCAGATAACACACGAGCATTGTGTCATCGTATTGGTTTTAGATAACATTCAGTTCCGTTGTTTACTTGAGATTGTTTTTTTTCATTGCATGTTATCCTTTTTAAAATAAAATACCTGTGTTAATGAACGTTATATTTTGATCAGTATTATTACCATGTACATCCAATTTGTGAGAGCAAATTAAAAAAAAGTAATTTAAAAAAATGTTTGTTTCAGGTGGTTTCGAACCCAGGGTGTGGGCAGCTCCCAGTTGTTGCTGGTCAACACGTATTACTACGGCCTGCTGAAGCCTTTCGCGACAGTGGGTATCGCCCAGAGGGACGTGGTCCTGAGTGTGAGTCCTTCAGATTGTCTGGACGATCTTAAAGATGACCAGCTGGACAATATGCTGAGGGATTATCTGTTGAGGGGTCAGTACAGGTGGAGATAGTTCTAGAAACTCGACGCTAGAGGGTTGAAAATATTCTAATAAAGCTTCCATAAATGATGCCACAGAGGAGTGTGGTCGAGGGGGCTGTAGGCGGGGAAAGATATGTCAATTAGTTGACACGTATACTTGTGCTGGAGGGGGATCCATTCCAACACTAAAAATTAAGAACGAAGAAGAAGTGAAAATATCAGTATTAGTGTATTCGTACAAAAATTCAACACACAAATGTATAATATAAGCGGACTGGTAATGTATCAGTCCTTCCTTCCTTCCGTCATCGCTATAAGTTTTGGAACCATAAAAGTAAACACACCACATGTCGTGCTTTTTACTTGCATCGCAGTGTCTTATAATATGTAATTGAGTAGGTTTTGTTTATATAACGACTTAAATTTATTATATAGTTGCCACCGTTTTTACTCTTTCGCATAACCTGAAGAAAATATTTAATACACACAAATTACTAAAACATTAAACGGACCAATGTCAAAAATTATTTTTGTTTAGATTCCTAGAAAAAAAGGATACATTTTAATAATAATGGGGTCGAAAAAATTAAGCTATTTTGTAATTTTGCCAAGGGAGCTAATTTAAAAATAAATTCAATCACGCTAATAAAAAAATGTGAATGCAAAATTTGTAGATGTGTAAGAGGACATTATTGTTGGAATATTATAAATAGCATGGTTTGATAAAAGGCTATTTTTTTTTTTTATTTTAGTCACTGAACGTATTGTTTATTATGATAATTTTTAATCAACTATTCCGCAACATTATACACGTGTCATCACGCTCATTAGGTTCGCAATGGTTTAAGTCATGAAACTCTATTGCACATTTTTTTTTAAATTTTAAGAACTGAAAAAAATGCATGAATTGATAAAGTGCTGTATGGCAGGTAAAAGCATTATGCGTTTATGTTTGCATTTAAGTTGTATTTATGTTATGAGTGTTGTGTTTGTGTTTGTGTTTTCGTTTTTTTTTGCATTTGTGTTGGCACTGTGTTTGTGTTTTCACTTGTGTTTTTATTTGCGTTTTTTTTTCTTTTGTGTTTGTGTGTTGCGTTTGTGCTTTCTATTGTGTTTTCATTGTGTTTGTGTTTTCTTTTGTGTTTGTGTTTTTGTATTTGTGTTTTCTTTTGCGTTTGTGTTGTGTTTGTGTTGTGTTTAGTTTTGTTCTGTTCCCAAGTTTGTACATTTAAAAAAGATTTATCGTGGCGGATCACGGGTATGCAGCTAGTCTTTGTATATTAGTAAAGGCTGACATAGATGAGATTGCCAGTTTTAAAAACAATTTCTTCGTGTGAAAGGTGTTTTCATGAAGATCATGAAGTTCAAAATATGCAGTACGACCATAAAGCAATCATTAAAAATATTTTATTAATCCAATTAAACCAATCTGGATGTCCACTTGCAGAAAATAAAACAGTAAAAATACATGTAAAATTACAGATAGTCTAATTTAAAATAAAACTAATTAATACAATAAATGCAAAATCTAGTCCGAAATCTTACACATTACTTTTTATCACAACACATCCATGTTAGGTACAGTACCTGTCAATATACTTAACTTTTTCTTAAAACTCATTGTAACGTTTTTGAAACTGCTCCTCCATGTTTTAGATTTTGACGTTGACGGCGCCACGGTAAAACACCCGTTCAAATACTCAGACGCTGTGGAGATCTGTACAGCTCTGGTTGATGATGATGACGGCTGGGGACGTCTAGTCTACAGGTCAGACCTTGGTCGAAAATCTACTCAACATGTATTTTTGCTATGTGCTGTGTTACAAGTATTCAAGTGTAAAAAACAACCTTCATTGAGTATACACCAACGCCTCGTGTGTAAAGTAACATGCGATTTATTGCGTATTATGTCAGCAGATATTGCCGTCTCGAGTTTAATATTTTTTCCACCCATGAAATATTATCTTGTGCACTACGTCACCAGGTGCTGTGGATACGACTACCGGAAGCACCTGTACTGTGATGACGTGTACAACGGCGACTGGGTGTGGGCCCTCCAAATCTTTATCCTTACCCTGACGGTCATCATCTTTCTCTACATCCCCCTCCTCATCCCCGAGGGTTACAGGTAGGCTGATCTCTCCTTACATATTGATGTACCTCTTATTGAAAGACTATGCATTCAACTTAATATGACCTTGCAATTTTCCCTTCCTTTTTACTTTCTCGTATATACGAAGTATAGAGAAAGTATTGTAATCGTGCACAAAAATCAATTGAAATTTTAACAATTTTCACCGTATTACACCTCAGTCCTTCGTCACATCCGAAGTATAGAGGACTTATTTTAATCGGGCAAAAATTATCAATCCAGATTTATCAAAATTAAGAGGTTTTATGCGTAATCCAGTCTGAAAAACTGGGTTTTGCAACTCTGTCCGTATGTCTGTGTGTGTGTGTGTGTGTGTGTGTGTGTGTGTGTGTGTCTGTCCGTGTGTAAACACGATAACTTGAGTACCGTTACAGCTAGGTTGATGAAATTTCATATATAAGTATTTTATCAAAATCGTAGATCCATATCAACTTTTGAGCGATTTCCCGATAACCAGAAGTGGTACTTTTTCTACTTTGAATTTTTCAAAAGCCTATAACTTGAGTACTATTTCAGATAGATAAATGAAATTTCACATGTAAGTATAAGATCTAATCTCTACCTTCTGTCAAATTTTGAGTAATTTCCGTTGCCCGGAAGTACTAATTTACGCTACTTCCGATTTCTCAAAAAACTAATGTAAATTTTTAAAGTACTAATAATATTGCGCACTATTATGCACTTCTGATGTGCAATAGATTTTATTCTATTTTTAAAACTTTAAGTATTTAAAATGGATTAAAAATCATGTCTATAGCCCGAGTTCCCATCCCCTGTTGTTTTATATAAGAATATTCGAGAAAGTTTAGGGGAGATCACTCCCTGTTTATTAAAGGCTGGATCTCATCTTATTCTGTCCCTACACTTTGGAGTATTCATATTAAAAGACTATGCATTCACCTTAATCTAACCCTGCACTTTTTTATCTTACCGCGAATTAAAAGACTACATGCACTTTTTGTCATTTCTTTTTTAAGGCTGGATGCACTGCCCTTATTCTGTCTATATACGCTTGTGTTTTAGATCTTTGAAGGCTGCATACATACCCTAACCTATCCCCAAATACACAGACGTTTCTATCAGTAGCTATCATTGCATCTTTTAAATGTCTTTACAATTCATCTCTATTCTAGAATCTCCCAGCAATCTTTGAATCTATTCGCTTACTACAAATAGAAAGTTTTTAGACTACCAAACAGAATTTATTTATAGGATAAATGTGTTTGATAAATACAATTTCACAAGCAAATAAGCTAAATTTACCTATACAGTTTTGGAATAGACATTGTTAGAAATACATTCGGGAATTAAATATAATGGAATTAGATTAATATATCTTTTAAAACTTATCAGTACTTGATTATAACAATAGAATAATATAATGTGTAAAGAGAATGTTGCTGTAGCTATGTTTTGATGCTGTTGATGTAACTTATCACTTTAGGTACAACACGTATTGTTACTTCCCTGCGGATAATCTGACGTTTAAGATAGTTTGTACACATCATCCCGAGGAGTACAGGTAAGTTGGTTACCATAGAAACACAATTTTTAATTAAATTTAATGTAGACAGACGTTGTAAGAGAAGTTACCATAGACCCAGATTTTAATAGCTTGATATCATCATAAACTGTATGTATTGTACAAAGTGTGTATTTTATCAACTGATGTTTGTCGAATAGGACGAATAAAAAATCCCTGGCCCTCAGACGTAAACAGTGGGAGAAGATGACCAAGGTGAAGAAATTTCTACCTTCACTGGTCAAAGATGTTGTCTACCTGTGTCACGTGAAGAAGGTGGAGTTTAGTGTCAATATGGACAAGCTGCTGGTTGAGGGCGGGTCAACAATCAACAGCACCAAGGCTTTGTTCAACGCCTTCATCCGGTGTAAGGTAAAGTGTTTGCCTGCACGTTAAATATCATTGTGGGTTATTCAGCTACTCCCGTGGTCCAGAAAGTCAAGAACTTTCTATAACTGTTGTGCACAATTAGCTTCGAAAGTCAAAAGGAATTTTTCAAGCATTATTGTAATATCATCAAGGCAAATACATTTTGTTTTCTTTCTTTATAAACAGAATGTTTACGTTTTTTTCAACGCGATTTATTCTTTAAAAAAGTTATAAAAATGATTTTTAAAATGTCAATATCCCGATTGCACTGGACGTACCATCCTCCTTTAAGTTACATAAGAGTGAACGAGAAAATTTAGGGGAGATCAAACCCGGTATTTTTTCTACCGTAAAATAATGTGTTTAGCCTGATTATTTTTCGTATAAACAAAAGCTCCCGCAAGTAATCAAACCTTTCCCCACAGATCCGCCAAAGTGAACCCCTAGAAGACTGTTGTCGCTACCCTGCTTGTGGCACTATCTGCTGCACCCACTCGCCTCCATGGAACGTCGTTGTCCGAGCGTTCAGAACCCTGTTCGTCATGACAGTGTTGGTCATCCCCTCCCTCCCTTTCATGTACGCCATGGCCGCTGATGACCTGGATTTCCAGTTTCTGGGGGAGGCGTTCGAATCTCGCGGGCTCCAACGGAAATTCAACTTCTACACTGGTCGTGTTTCTGGGAAAATTATTGTCGCAGTCATATCAATCATGTACATTCTTCACTGCGCTCTTCTAATCATAGACGGCGCCACAACTGAAACTTTCAGTCAACTTTACAACGAAATCTTCGACCTTTCATGGAAGAAACAGCTGAGACAACATGTCACGTGGGTTAGGTATCAACTCAAAAGACTTCGAATGCCAATTAAAAGATGTGGTATTTTCGTCTTGCCCATTTGGATACTGGCAGCCATTTTGTTTCCCATGTATGTGATGATGTCTATCATCTACCACGCCCCAATGCTGCAGCTTGTTGTTCAAGTTATACGGAAGAGTTATCGCCGAGTCAAATCTTTAAAACAGAAACCTAACGACAGGATCAAAGCTTACAACGGCTGTCAACTTTTCTGGTTCTTCTTCACAATCCTCTTCGTCTTCATCGTACTCACCATCGGCACAAACTTCCTGGTTCACGTGCTGGCTATGGTAATCGTAACCGTGGTGGTGGAGGCTGACCTCATCTACCGCATCCTTCCGGTGGTGCTGCTGTTTTTCATGTACATCCGGGACTCGTACAGTCGTGTAGGGCTGGGGTACGACGCCTTCTACAACATATTGCTGGATGCCGTTAAGTCCAAGGAGCAGAAAGCTGTGAAAGCCGAGGCTATGAAACCCAGACACCAACAAACCAACAGAGTTTTTAAGGTGGATGTTGAGAAACTAGATGACGCTTCAGAAACTGGTGAGTGTGGCACATTTTTTTTCAAATTTTTAGCCTCAGACGTTTACAGCATCAGTTTGCCTTGACTCCTTGTCTGGCTTCTGAGGACAGATACAGAACTCAAATATTCCTGTCTTTCAAACATCTGTTTCTATAGCTGTTATCGTACTGATTTTTTTAATTAAAAAAAATACATTTCAAAAGCAATATTTTGTAGTTTAGTGCAGTTTTAAAGAGATGGTTATAAAGTATAAATATGCATTTATTAATTAAAAATAATCTGGGAGCTGTCATGAAACTAGATTAAAATAATAATTTAGGACAGTGCAGGAAATCCACGTTTTGGACGTTGCATTATTCAAGAGCATCGTTTGATCAAAAACTTTAATTGTATTTGTTTTAGCCAAAATGGTTCTGCTAAGAACAAAAGTCTTAAATTTGATGTTCTTAAAACTTGAGCTCTACAAGTATGTATTAGTTTGTTTACTGAAAGTCCTTTGGACAACTTTTCCAGATGGCGCAGACGATATGGCCGTTGATGTAGCGGAAGTTCCGGTTCCCCAGCCCAAGAGACTTTTTAACGTGAAGCACGGCAACATCCGACTACACCAGAGACAACTGCTGCTGTTTCTAACTAGGGACGACTTTCTGCACATGTCCGAGAAATTTTTCTTTCATTGTTGTACCATGGACTGTGCTGGGAGTCCTGGTCCTATTGTAGAGAGCTATGTTAAGGTAACAATGTCCTGGTCCTATCGTAGAGAGCGATGTTAAGGTCACAAAGTCATGGTCCTGTTAATAATTATTTGATTATGAACTATGTTCTAGTATTATTTTTAGAAGAGTTACTGAAATAAAAGTGATTTAACATATCTTATCTGATGACCAGTTAACCTCTAATGATCCCTCTACTTCAACACCTGATAATATCCCTAAACTTTATTTGAAGTCCCATGTACTTCGACCCTTTAACCTATCACCTATGACTCATCACCTCATATAATCGCTGAACCTTATACGACCTGCCTTGTACATTGACCCTTTAACCCATCACCTATGATGTTCCCCACCAACAGGCTACACTAGAAGTGGTTAAAATCGGCATCTTCCTTCTCTTCGTCTTCCTGGTGGTGATGGCGTACGGCAGCAGCTACTACATCTCACCTGCCAATCACCTGTTTGTCACCCTCATCTCTGGTCTGGTGCCGCTGATCATCAGGAACGTCTTTTGTTTGGCTGGTGCCACACCTGTTGAAACCGTCAATACGAAAAACTACAGGTAAGTCGAACATTCAAATTCTAGAACAAAACATGATGAAGTTTGAAATCTATAGAACATGTTAACATTAAACAAAAATAAAAAAACATTTTAATTAGAAAGCTTTCTGCACTGAAAAGAATAAACAAAACATTGCTGTTATAACTGAGTCCATTGTTGATGCTAGTGGTTTATCCACCCCCCTCCCGTCCCACATCTGAATTTGGACAGCCGCAACCTGATATGAAGACATCCCCTCCCCACATAGAGAAGTGCAGGCTAGGGAAGTAACGGTCGCCTAGTCTTTGGCCTTCGTCGGACCCAACTAACCTGGGATGCAAATTTAGGGAAACACGTAATAAGATACCCTATTGTATTCGAGGTTAAGCCAGGGCATAGACCCCAAGCTGGGTGGTGAGGGCCAGTGGGATAGGACAGTTAAACGCTATCTTTACTAGGTTGTAAATCTGTTTTGTTTCATGTTTGTAAAGTGTTGTAGGGCTGGCCTCTAAGGCTGGCCACTATTGATGTTCAAGATTATTTCCTATTTTTTCCAAGACTAAAGTATCAACCATTAAAATTAAGGAGTTGAAATTGCGTTTGTGTTTTCTTGAACCTCTCACTCTCATTACCAACCATACTGATGACGTCATAACAATTGCTTTCTTTAATATAAGTTGTTTTTTTACTTTCTCGTATATACGAAGTATAGAGAAAGTATTGCAAAAAAAAAATCAAGATTTTTGCAAATCTCGACGTTTTACACCTCACTGATACGGAAAAATATAATTTTGCAATCTTGTCCGTATGTCTGTGTGTCTGTGTGTGTGTGTCTGTGTGTGTGTGTGTCTGTGTGTAAACACGATTACTTGAGTACCGTTACAGCTAGGTTGATGAAATTTCATATATAAGTATTTATCAAATTCGTAGACCCGTATAAACTTTTGAGCGATTTCCGATAACCGGAAGTGGTACTTTTTTTACTTTGAATTTTTAAAAAGCCTATAACTTGAGTACTATTTCAGATAGATACATGAAATTTCACTTGTAAGTAAAAGATCTAATTCTCTACCTTCTATAAAATTTTGAGTAATTTCTGTTGACCGGAAGTAGTAATTTACGCTATTTCCGATTTCTCAAAAAACGCATGAAAATTTATTAAGTACTAATAATATTGCGCACTATTATGCACATTTTGTTTTGGCGTTCGCTTGGTGCGCAATTCTTTTTTCTACGAGATTCTATTCTATTTTTAAAAGTTTAAGTAATTAAAAATCATGTCTATATTCCGAGTTATATAAGAAAATTCGAGAAAGTTTAGGGGAGATCACTCCCGGTTTATTATTTTCTAGTATGAAATTTTGTTATCGACCCCTAAATAGTTGAATATAGTAATCTTTAAATAATTTTTTTAGGAACAATTAAGATACAATGAAATTGAAAATTGGATATTCTTGCATTGTCATCTAAGACAATTGTATCAAGAAAGTTAAAAAGTAATTGGGTATTTAGAAGTGGGTCAAAATTGGGTATTAAAATTTGCCAAAAACCCACAAAAAGCAAACATTGTGAACTAACTAAAAATCTTGTAATGGCTCCTATTAAGAGTAACAGAGTTATGATATTTATCACAATTAGAGATGAACACTCTTTTACTAAATGTGCCCGTCCATGCTAAGAAACAACAGTTTTATAAAACCCTAGGATATAGGGCGAGTAAGTAGGTAGAACTGGTTGGTGACCTACTTACCAGCCCTATTACAAAGCTTAACTCCGCCAATCCCCAGGTTCGAGGCCCAGCTGAAGGAAAAAATTGAAACCTTCGGCCAGTCTTGGGATGTCAAGGACATGACCCTGGCCAACCCCAGCCCAAACAACAACATGTATGACGAATCTGAACTTTCCGAAACGGGAAGTCCCGGGGACGTGATTGACCTCATTCTGGACTTGAATGGGAGCTGTACGGAGGAAGAGATTCAGAAGGTGGAGGAAGCAGACGACGATCTTCAGAAGCTCGAACCTGTATGAGCCCAAGAGTTTTATTTTAGCTGGTACAAATGTAATTTAGGTGTTACAGAATTAGCTGTGGCCACTACAAAATATGTTTTAGGTATTACAAAATGTGTTTTATGTATTACAAAATGCGCTGTAACTGTTACAAAATATGTTTTAGTCGTGTCACAATTCCTGGTGTTTGAATGACTATTGAAATGTAATATATTTGTTTATAGAACGTTACTTAAAGACTAGATACATTTAAAGTTTAGCACAATCAGCATTTCCCAGACTTCAGTGCTAGAAGCTTGCCAATGTACTCATTATTCCTGTTGGTTTCTCGTTCATTGTCTCTTCTACTTCTACTGTGTACGCAATTGTAATCTAGATGGGGAGTCCATCAAACATCAGTAAATAACATTTTATGCGTCATGTTGCCCGGTGACTCAGCCTGATTTGTCTCAAGGGTGATCTTAGCAGTGATTTAACTGGCGTTTTCTCTTCAAACTGGCTTGCTTTTCCCAGCGTACGAGCCGCATCAGCCCGGGGGTCCGAACTCGGGACTTAAAGGTTAGCAATAGCGCGCTTTGCCACGCCGTCCCCTCGTCACCACTAATCATGCCACTATTTTTGCCTCTATTAATGCCACTACCCATGTGACTAATTATGCCACAAATGTAGTTTTCTTAATGAATCCAGTTTAATCACCTTTAATCATATCTCATTACCACAGGCTCTTTAAGTTTACTTATCTATTTGAAACCGAAAGTAACAAGAAAGGTAGAAAGCTGTGCCTGTGTCTTCCATTTTCTATATAAATTCCATTTCGTTCGTGGGGGGGGGGGGGGGGGGGGGGGGCCTCCACTCTCCCGAAGTGATGCCTGGAAGAAACTCTGATAACAACAACCAATCTGCCATCTATTTGATGTTACTAGTATTTGCCAGATAACAATGCACAAAACTTGCCAAAAACTGTACGCTGCTGATACTTCATGTTTTAATAATTCCATTGCCATAATTTGTCATGTATATATAATTTGAATTGCATGCCAAACACGCTAGTATTATTTTTTATTAAAAAAATAATTCATAAATAAACTGTCATACAATCATATTTACTCAAAGTGGTTTTTTTTGTAACAGAAAGTAAGTTATACTAGATTAGAAACGGAAACACTGTGAAAACATTGTTAAATATAGTCTGACGGTGTTTTGAACTATGTTTTAATGATTTCTTTATTCGTGTAACTAATCATTCAAACCTGTTTTAATGTGCTTTGACTGATAATAGGTACTCAACAAAAAATATTACATAATTTAAACTTTTATGAACGTTGCTGGCTGTTGTATTATAAATATTGGAATATCGGCAATATATTCACATAGCTAGAATCTATACGGCTAAAAGGTACGGGCGTTATCTTTTAAGAACAAAACAAACCCAGGCATCTGAGGTATATAAAAACAGAAGAAAATGAAAACATTTACTTGAAAGACCACTACCGGTCATAAAACTAATGCCTTTGTTCTGATTAGTATGGAGTTGTCCTGTGGATCAATAACCAATTGCTTAGTCATTAATGGTGATCAGATGAGGTCAATGAACTCATAACCTTCAGACCTAGCTGACCCTGACCCCAGAATAGAACTTAATAGGTGTATGGATTAGGTTGGGGTCATTCATAGCGGTATTAAAAACTAGAGGGAAGGGAGTGGTCGGATCAATGTGACGATATATTTTAGACGCGGGGGGAGGGGGGGCATAAAGTGTGAAAAGAATCTTTAAAAAAAAAACAATGTTAGAAAATCGGTTTTAGCTGTTATTTCGCCATTTTGAAAACTTTTTTGGTAGTTGTTTACAGAGGCGTAGCGACTTAATCAGGTGCCCGGGGCAGACTATCAATTTTGCGCACCCCCCCCCCCCCCTATTTCTTTAAATAGTTATTCCTGTCTGTGAAAAAGCCCCCCCCCCCCCCCCCCAGTTGGAAAGGTTTGTGGCGCTTCTTAACAGTTACTATCCTGTAACAATTTATATTTCGGTGTCACAAAATTGTTAAATCAGTGTGTGAAGCCTCGTAGCCGTTCATTTTTCGTAGTATTGACAGTGTATATTTCGATACCTCAGCTTAAAATGAGCTTTCAAATTAATTTCTTTACCCCTTTTGGCGCCCCCTTAAGGTGGCGCCCGAGGCGGCCGCCCCACCCGCCCTCCCCTAGCTACGCCTCTGGTTGTGTGACGTTCTTTTGAAGCTGTGGGTAGAGTCTTTGTGATGATGTGTAACGTTGGTGAGGGGAAAAATCAAAATACTTATAAAAAGCGTGTCATCATTAGTAGATTACCCCTAACTACAAACGTTTATTCTGTTAATAGTGTAGCTAAACTACCAGAAACACTGGCAGACCTAGATTCTCTAACACAAACCCACAGCACTAGCAAGTCTGTCAATAATACAAGAGAAGCACTCAGACTACATATTACTAGTGGCGCCAAGTAAAGGCGTAGATTCTCCATTCAATCAATACTGACCTGCTATTTCCTGCTGTTGTATTTGTCATGAAATGCGATACCACAGCCACAGGGGACATTACTCTTGTTTTTAATGAGTTAGGAGGTCACAGCAGTTATCTGTGCATAACTGTTGAGTAGGCTTTACTAATAATAGTGTTTATTATTTATTAATTTATTTTTACTATAAATTAATACATTTAGCTTTCAGTGAAAAACTAAAGCATGTTCAAAACTTACTTTGGAGATTGGGAAGACAGATTAAGATAAATAAAAATAAAGGTTTACACACGCAGTCGGCAAATATTAACATAACCTTTGATACTTAACCTAGACTTGCTGACCTCTTATCATGGACGCAAATAAAAACTATATATATATATATATATATATATATATATATATATATATATATATATATATATATATATATATATATATATATATATATATATATATATATATATATATATATATATATATATATATATATATATATATATATATATATATATATACATTTATAGTATGTGTTGAGTATAAAGGTGACTGTATGAGAGTCTTATTAAACACTTAGGAGTGGTAAATATTTTGTGTGATCTAACATCAACGACAGTTTAAATAAGCGGCGTAATTAATTACAGCGGTCATAAAGATAATTAATTACATTTCGCACCCACGACACCTGTGTACTGATCACCCCTAGCCATGACGTCACCGTGTCGTTGAGATTTATTTATAGCTTATGTCAGCCGGCCGTGATATCGAATGCGATGTGCTGAGTTTATTCAGACGAGGACTATGGGCTAAAATATGAGAGCTTGGGGCTATAACACACACAACACAGGAAGGCTGCACATGTCGAAATCATAGGAACATGAACCCACGGTGTGCTGTGAACTGCTAAAGTGATATTGTCACGTCAGATTATTTAACATTAAGATTTGCCATAGGCCTTTTATGACGTTAAACACTCACAAAGTAAACAGTTTTTTTCTTAACCAAAGTCAAACACTGATTCATTGCCTTTTAAGATATATTGACATCGGGAAAACCCGAAATCTCAGCATAAAATGATATTTCAATATCTAGACATCTATGTTATGTTAGTACTGTAATACTGTATTTTCAATGTTTGTGATGTTTCATCTTTTAACATACTATTGTCTCGATGTATCTAATACTCTTACGTAACTAAAACCACAGTCGCAATCATTTCCCCAGCAAGTAGGCTAGCTACTAACGCGGTAACGCGGTAACTTTGAAATCGTTATTTTTATTGGCCGTGAAATTAGGTCAAGCTTTGTGTGTAGGGTCGCTTCAAGTGGGTTACAAAAAATAAACCGTTTTTTTTTCGGCTAATTGGTACATGTTGGATGATTCGTACTCGTGTTTTTGTAGGTGAGGACGTGTTAAACTGTTTATTGAAAGGTAATTGGATTCTTTAATTCTGTGACAAGTGTTAATGAGGGTCGCAGATTTATCACTACAATATATGTACAGTTATTTACAAAAAAATGAGTAGTTCACAAATTTGATATATATATATATATATATATATATATATATATATATATATATATATATATATATATATATATATATATATATATATGTATGGGTGCATAATGTATCATACATAAAAATACTTATAATCTATCTATATAAATATTTATAAATACTTACATTCAATATAGACGAGCATAAATAAATAAATAAATAAACATATATATATATAGTTATATATATATATATATATATATATATATATATATATATATATATATATATATATATATATATATATATATATATATATATATATATATATATATATATATATATATATATATATATATATATATATATATATAGGCCTATATATAAATTTATTTATTTATATATATATGTATACATATATATTTATGTGTATGTATAGGCCTATGCCTTTATTTATGTTGTGAATCAAAATATGAAAGCACTTTTTCCTAATTTGTACACTAATTAGAGCATTCATAAATCTAACCTCCACTATGTTTTCGTTCTTAAAAGATTCAAAGAGAAAGAGCGATTACCCGATGTTTCATGGTGTGCTATATTTAGACTTCCTGAATTGCTTCCCTTTGTCTGACGTCAGATCAATAACCAGGTTACCCCCCTTAGATCTGGTTTTCCTCTCAGCGAGGCGAGAGTAGCGTTCATGCGTGACCTACCAAGAAGGAAATAATTTTTTTTTTAAACGCGAGGTGTGTTACATTTCTTTGTGGCGTAAGTTGAAGTGCAGTGGTTAGCTCCCCTCCTCTGACGAGTGGATTGCCTCCCCTCGCGTCACGGGTGAGATAACTGCCGTGTTATCGTCTGCTAGACGAACAGTTCACGGAAGTAGGTCACGATGAAAACAGTCGCGTGTGTCGTGTTTGTTGTCATCGCGGGGTGTTGTGTGTTGTGTTCAGGACAATCCAACGTCACGAGCTGCGTGTTCACCCCTGTCAACAAAACGAGATTTATCGAGGGAATTTACGAGTACTTCAACCAAGACAGCGATACGAGAATTCTGGAATATCACATTCAGTTTGTCAACATCTCGGATAAAAAATTCGACTTTGACGCTCGAGCAAGTGAGGACGCATTCCAGCCATCAAGGTAAGACAATCAATTTCTTCTTGGAGTGGCTGGTTCGGATCCCGTATGGCTGAGGCCAGTTGTGTCTTATTAAGGATTAAATTATTTTTCTTAGTCTTTAAAAAACACGTTATGTTGAATATTGCTACAACTTTCACTATCAGCCATACACACGGGAATTCCCGATTGCGATACTTGGTGAAAGGGGTGGAATTTTGGGACCAGAGTAACGTTAAAAGACGGTGGTATTCCCGATAATAAGTCTACCCACATTTCATTTAGTCCTTTTTTTTTACCTTTCTCGTATATACGAAGTATAGAGAAAGTCTTGTAATCGTGCAAATCTCGACGTTTTACATCTCACTGATACGGAAAAACATAATTTTGCAATCTTGTCCGCATGTCTGTGTGTCTGTGTGTGTGTGTGTGTGTGTGTAAACACGATAACTTGAGTACCGTCACAGCTAGGTTGATGAAATTTCATATATAAGTATTTTATCAAAATCGTAGATCCGTATCAACTTTTGAGCGATTTCCGATAAACGGAAGTGGTACTTTTTCTACTTTGAATTTTTCAAAAGCCTATAACTTGAGTACTATTTCAGATAGATAAATGAAATTTCACATGTAAGTAAAAAATCTAATTCTCGTCGTTCTATCAAATTTTGAGTAATTTCCGTTGACGGGAAGTACTAATTTACGCTATTTCCGATTTCTCAAAAACGCATCTAAATTTATAAAGTACTAATAATATTGCGCACCATTATGAATATCTTTATTCGGCGTTCGCTTGGTGTGCAATACTTTTTTCTATGAGATTCTATTTTATTTTAAAAAGTTTAAGTATTTAAAATGGATTAAAAATCATAACTATATCTCGAGTTCCCATCCCCTGTTGTTTTATATAAGAATATTCGAGAAAGTTTAGGGGAGATCACTCCCGGTTTATTTACCATTGTAAATAATCTTGCAAGGGTTTAATTATACACGTATGTACACCAACTTTAGAAATTGAAATGTTGTTTGACCGTATTGAAAACGTTTTCATTTAAAACACCATTACGCTTCTTTATGTTAAAAATAAATGAAAAAATAACCAGTTAAGGTTCGTATCAATTGATCTATTCTTATAGCTTACAATACCTTCAACCTTCTGGGAATTGTAAACACATCTCAATAATAACTAAACGAATAGGCCCTAAGTGATTATAGTTTTGATAGTCGCTATTTATAAAACAGATTTAATCTTACGAATGACAGCTTTCGATTAAGAAATATAGTCTTAATATTATGAGTAAGTTAGAAACATAATTTAGATTACAATGGCTGTTTTGATCAGACATTTGGTGCCTCTGTTTCAGATGGTTTCGAACTCAGGGCGAATCCAGCTCCCAGCTACTACTGGTCAACAATTACTACTACGGCATGCTCAAGCCTTTCATCACACCTGGCATCGTCAAGGTCACTCTCTCACTCAGGGTCAGTCCACCCACGTGCCTGGACGGGGTCAAGGGTGAACAGATAGAGGTCATGATACGAGACTACCTCCTGTTGGGTGAGTGGATCAGGGATCGTTTATATAACAGGAGGGAGGGGTTTATTTTTTGTTATATGGTGTTATGGTTCAGGGATCGTGGATATAACAGGAGGGAGGGGTTTATTTTTTGTTATATGGTGTTATGGTTCAGGGATCGTGGATATAACAGGAGGGAGGGGTTTATTTTTTGTTATATGGTGTTATGGTTCAGGGATCGTGGATATAACAGGAGGGAGGGGTTTATTTTTTGTTATATGGTGTTATGGTTCAGGGATCGTGGATATAACAGGAGGGAGGGGTTTATTGTTTTGTTATATGGTGTTATGGTTCAGGGATCGTGGATATAACAGGAGGGAGGGGGGTTATTTTTTGTTATATGGTGTTACACGGGGTGAGGTAACATTTATTTTTTGTTATATGGTGTTATGGTTCAGGGATCGTGGATATAACAGGAGGGAGGGGTTTATTTTTTGTTATATGGTGTTATGGTTCAGGGATCGTGGATATAACAGGAGGGAGGGGTTTATTGTTTTGTTATATGGTGTTATGGTTCAGGGATCGTGGATATAACAGGAGGGAGGGGGGTTATTTTTTGTTATATGGTGTTACACGGGGTGAGGTAACATTGCTTAGCACTGCCTTCGATGTTCTGTATGTTAATTTTTATTTCGCTGTACAGTTACAATTCTTCGATGAATAAATTAACATAACTGTCTTACGCATTAAAAAAAATCTCAAAATAATATTTGAAATAAATAAAAATTATATAGATGATTCAAATAATTTTCATCGAGAATTACTTGGTTTCCATTATTAGTTTTTAAAATGATAAACATGGTGTATTTTTTATTTGTGTTGTTGGAGGGAAGTGGAAGGAGAGGGTTTTAGTAATCTTATCAAATTAGACTGAGTGGTTAGCATTTTAAGTAGACCAACGTAATGGGTTAATCTCATATGTTTTTGTTAAGCATCATTTGCAGCACATAACACTACCCTGTAGTGTTTGAAATCATACTGTTTACTAGTTAATGCATCACGTGACATATTGAGTCTATACTGGTCTGGGTTTTTCATCTCTGGACACGGACCAGACAAGTTGAGCTAAGTTTTGTGTTCGATGCTGGTTTTACCTTCCTCTTAAGACAGAGCTGATCTCACCTGGTACTTACCTGTGTTATGTTATATCCCCACTGTCACGTGCAGCATTCCGTCACGCAGTCGTCTGCTTACAGCTCCTTACATCCGGCTTTTTTGGTCAGATTATCTTTTCCCAGGTTAATGAGTACCAGGTGAGAGAATGCCAATAATGCAGGTAGGATCTTCTATTGGAGATTACTCCCATATCTTCATGCATACAACACATTTTTCTTACAGCTTTACAGTGCACTCGTTCTTTCTGTGTTGTTAATTTCAATACTGGAGGGGATTCCCTCCAACATAATTCAGCACTACGCATGAGCATGTTATCCGTTGAGCATGTTATCCGTTGAGTCCGAATTAGCCTGCTTTTTTTTTTTTTTTATGTACAGTACGAGAAAAACAGAAAAAAATAGACACATGTTAATATATTTACATGTGGCGGTTCTCCTAGTGTTATCTACACATATTCCAGCTGATTCAACTGTTTACTAAAGATCTGGTTTTTGGCACACTTTCAAAACTAGAATTGTAGAAAGCTTTATCTTATATTCAACTTGGTAAAATATTAAAATGTGGTATTATGTTTTTTTCGCGTTCTTTTGGCTTTTCTTATACAGATATTTTATAATGATTTTTTGCTTCTTAGATATGTTTCAATATGAAACTAAATAGCAGCAAATGGTATTATTAAAAATTAGATCAGCGTAATTAAAAATGTGGCAAAAATAAAACGTTCAAATAGTTCAGCTTGATTGTCTCACTGTCAAGACTTCAGCATAGAAAAGTCTAAGATGAAACATCCACATAATTAACATAACAATTATTCCTGTCAGATTTCAACATTGACGGGTCTAAGATGAAACATCCACATAATTAACATAACAATTATTCTTGTCAGATTTCAACATAGACGGGTCTAAGATGAAACATCCACATAATTAACATAACGATTATCCCTGTCAGATTTCAACATTGACGGGTGAAAGATGAAACATCCACATAATTAACATAACAATTATTCCTGTCAGATTTCAACATTGACGGGTGAAAGATGAAACATCCACATAATTAACATAACAATTATTCCTGTCAGATTTCAACATAGACGGGTCTAAGATGAAACATCCACATAATTAACATAACAATTATCCCTGTCAGATTTCAACATAGACGGGTCTAAGATGAAACATCCACATAATTAACATAACAATTATCCCTGTCAGATTTCAACATAGACGGGTCTAAGATGAAACATCCACATAATTAACATAACAATTATCCCTGTCAGATTTCAACATAGACGGGTCTAAGATGAAACATCCACATAATTAACATAACAATTATCCCTGTCAGATTTCAACATAGACGGGTCTAAGATGAAACATCCACATAATTAACATAACAATTATCCCTGTCAGATTTCAACATAGACGGGTCTAAGATGAAACATCCACATAATTAACATAACAATTATCCCTGTCAGATTTCAACATAGACGGGTCTAAGATGAAACATCCCTTCAAGTACTCCGATGACGTGGAGATCTGTACAGCACACATCAGCGACAACAACGGCTGGGGGAGATTACTCTACCGGTAAGCCTTACCTGATCTTAGAACCTTCTCGAGAATAGTTTTTTCCCTTGCGATTTGCAAAATGTTAATTTTAAAAACAATAGTACAAAAATATCGCTCTTAATATTTCCTTAGCTGTAAAGAAAATGCCTATTTAAAAATAGCAGGATATTGACTAACATGGGTATTAGTTTTACTACAAACTAATAACAATGTGTTACTATTATCAATAAGTAGAATGTCCCTGAGTTCACCCAGCTCTGATAGGTATCTAACTCACGTTAGGGAAAGGCGGCTGAGCATAGTGCTGACTATCTTATCACTTCATATGCCGAGGTCCCTAAACCTCACTTTATCTACCCCATGTGTCTTGGGTACGAACGGGAAATGACGGTGATTATCAATGCTATTTTAAAATTTGTAATGGGACACTGTGGTTGGTGGCAGAGTATTCAACTGCTAACCCGAAAGTTTCGAGTACTTTCGACGTCCCTGGGTCCACCAGTGCCTGTGGGCACCTGCTTCACGTTAGTGAAAGTAAAGGCGGCGGGGCATAGTGCTGATCACTTCATATGCCGAGTTGACTGAAATAGGTGAACTCCACTTCACCTGCAAAATGGACCTTAAGTTTCGAAAGGGTACTTTTACTTTAAGAAATGTATATTCTAATAAATTTTGTATTAATTATTTACACTTTAACCTTGTACAATATTATAATTAGTTAGCTAATCACACATCAATTCACACCTGATTTACCTGTGATCTTATCAGGTGCTGTGGGCTGGACAACTCTAAAGAACTGTACTGTGATGACGTGTTCGAGGACGATTGGGTCTGGGCACTGCGAGCCTTCATCATCTCAATCACCTGCATCTTGTTCCTGTATTTTCCTATGTTCATACCTGAAGGTTACAGGTAAACTTTAGGTTCTGCCAGATTTTCTTTATTTCGGGTTTTTGGGCACAGTTGAACTCTACTTCCTCTACCATATTGATGATCACTTTCGAATGCGAAACCTTTTTACCCGGTCCTGAAAATATCGGTTTAAAATTGAAATTAACTTTGAAATTGAAAAATGTTATAAAATACCTCAATAGTTAATATTTGGTTATATTGCAATGATTGGGTTTTGTCTGAATTTGTAATTTATTTTCTTCAGGTTCAACAATTATGTGTTTTATGCAGGTTCAACAATTATGTGTTTTCTACAGGTTCAACAATTATGTGTTTTCTACAGGTTCAACAATTATGTGTTTTCTACAGGTTCAACAATTATGTGTTTTCTACAGGTTCAACAATTATGTGTTTTCTACAGGTTCAACAATTATGTGTTTTCTACAGGTTCAACAATTATGTGTTTTCTACAGGTTCAACAATTATGTGTTTTCTACAGGTTCAACAATTATGTGTTTTATCCTAAAGGAGAGCTCAAGTTTCATTTCATCCTGACCACCAATCCTGAAACATACAGGTAAATGTTTGTATGTAGTTGCTACCATTGTCCTTGTGTAGATGAAGTAGAGAGGATGAAAGTTTTGGTTGGTTGTTAAAATGTTCTGGCAACTTGACCTTTGTTACTACTGCATGAATTAATGACTGTTACCACTACATAAATTAATGACTGTTACACACTGCATAAATTAGTGACTGTTACAAACTGCATAAATTAATGACTGTTACCACTGCTTGCGTTAATGACTGTTACACACTGCATGAATTAATTAATGTTACCCCTGCATAAATAGACTGTTACATACTGCCTTAATTAATGACTGTTACCACTGCATAGATTAATGACTGCTACACACTGCATAACTTGATGACTGTTAGCACTGCATGAATTAATGAATACTACCACTGCATAAATTAATGACTGTTACCACTGCTTGAATTAATTACTGATACCATTGCTTAAATAACAGACTGTTACCACTGCTTAAATTAATGACTGTTACACACGGTATGAATGAATGACTGTTACCCCTGCATGAATCAAGGCAGTTGAAAACAAACTCTGTGGTTAAAATATGTATTAAAGACTGCTGGTTCTGAACTCCCGCAAAGGAATTCTAAAAGTCATTGAAGTTAATGTAGCAAGCAACACCCATTTTAGAAAAGAAATTTCACAAAAATAAAATATATCAAACAATTAAAAGTAGTGATATAAGCAGTTAATAACAGTATTCAGACATAAAATTATGTACTGCTTCTTTCTTGAAGGCACTCTATTAAATTGATTGATTACTCCCCTTTTATATAATAAACAGTCTAAGGGAAACAACGCTAAATATGCAAATAAAGATAGTTAAAACGCAAATTAATTCAAGAATTTTCTAGTAAAAAAGTAAAAATTTAATTGTTTTTTATAAATTAAAACTGTTAAAACATGTTTTTAAAGGAATTTCTATTTTGTTAGTTCGTAATTTATAAACCCGTTTCTTTTATAAATCAATAAAAGCACAAGCTTCGTTGAATTTTGTTTTTGTTAAGTTTTGAAATTTCTTTTGATGGGGGCCACCAACTTTCCATTTATATTTCATGAATTTCAAATTGTGATTTATATAAATACGTTTTCTCTGAACAACTAAAAGAAAATAATTTTTGAATCATAGGCTCCTTGGGGTCGTAGTTTGAATATTTATTAACAACACGTAGTGACTGAATTCTTTTAAATAGTGAGAGAAATCAAAAGATATTTTAGGTAAAGGAGCCTAACATTGCTGTCAAATCCCAATGTTGACTGCAATGGCTGATGGGGAGCAGCACTTCACCATCTATGATCCCACATCCAATCAGCCAGTGACAGTGGCAGTAAATAATGTGGTTCAAAGTGCAGAAGATGCTCAAGCTGTGCAGAGCATTCAGTATATCACCACAGCAGATGGTGTGCAGGTGGCTCAGATGGGATCAAATGATGTCATACAGGTAGCACAAGCTGATGCCAGTTTTCAGCAGGCTGCAGGATTCCAGACTATAAGAGCAGGACAGCCACAAGTTATTTCTAACGCATCTTTTGCTCCTAATACTCAGGTTGCATCAATAGTCCAGTCAAATGTCCTTCAAAATGTGCACCAAACTCAGACTGCCCAGCCTTCTCAAGCACCAGCCATTGGCAGCTCATCTTCCAACATCATCCCACAGATGATTTTCTCAACCAGGTTTCAATCAATGGACAAACATCTTATGTCCTTGTTGATGCTAATAACAAACCAGTTTAGCTTCCCCAGGGAATACAAGTGATCAATCTACCAACCCAACAACTAGCAGGCCAACCAATCCAGATGCCGACCAGTGATACCGGGGATGAGCCTCTGTACGTCAATGCTAAGCAGTACCACAGGATATTAAAGAGAAGACAAGCCAGGGCTAAACTAGAATCAGAAGGAAAGATTCCTAAAGAAAGACAGAAATTTCTATACGAGTCTCGTCATCGACATGCTTTGAATCGAACACGAGGAAGTGGGGGCATATTTGTAAAGGGCAGCGAGACAGACAGCAAAAGTAGCCTCCATCAACAGTTGCAGCCAACAAACATGAGTATCAGATTAGTGGGCATCTCTAGAAGTCCAAGACAGTGCTAAAATTTAATTTACAATCTGGACTGAATTCTTGAAAGTGTTTATCATTTTAGTGACCTTTGAATTTGTTTTAATTTGGATGTTGTTTCATTAGATTTGTGAAAGAAAGTTTAATTTTAGTGTTATACAACAGTTAAAAAACGATCATTCTTTGATAAATTGTGTAAAACATTCAATATACCAGGTTTGATGGTAAAAAAAGTTTCGAGATTTTCAGAAGCTTTTGTTTCCATGTGCTGCTTGTTTCAGCAGTTTATCATTTCTACCTAAGAGATGTGGAAGAAGAATTGACTTTATTAGTTGTTATTGTAACTTCCAATATTTATTATTATATTCTTATGCTCGGAGTATTTTCTCCCCATTTCGTATTGTGTACTGAGAGATTCTCTATATCTCAGAACCAGGAATTATATACTGACAGATTCTCCAGATTGTATTGCTCAAAACTTTCCCCTGAATGCAGAAAATATTAGAAAATATTAGTGCTTGTGTTAAATTTCAAGTAAAAATGTTATTAAAATATTGCCATCAACCTGATAACAGAATTTTTAAATTGATCTCACTTAGGATTTTTATCATGGATCCTCTAAGACAATAGGCTTGACACAAGTACACCTAAAATTGATATGTATAAAAAAATGACCAATGATATATTTATCTTCTGATATTAGATTTAATTATCTTAAACATAGAAACTTTTATGTAATGGCAAGTTAAGCTGCATATGCATTGATTTGTATATAACAATTACACATTTGAAAATAAACCTCTGTAAAAAAAAGTGATTTATATAATGTTATAAGTAAGAAGTATTACTATTGTTATATTTCAGATTTCTCAAAAAAAAAAAAACTAATGTGAACTTATAAAGTATTAATAACATTCCGCACTACTATACACATATTGTTTGGCATTCATTTGGTGCGCAATTCTTTTTTCTACGAGATTCTATTCTATTTTGAAAAGTTTAAATAATAAAAAATGGATTATCATGTCTATCTCCCGAGTTCCCATCCCCCGTAGTGTTATATAAGTCAATATAAGAATACTCGAGAAAGTTTAGGGGAGATCACTCTCGCTTTATTTCTTTTGTTATAAACCCGTAGCACCGGATCTAGTACATGCATTACTTGAGTTTGATCCGTGTCAACATTGCGTTCCATGTATCCAAGCCTGTTCACATTCTATCTTCTGACTTTACCAATAAGCAGTTCCGGAGCAGAAAGATCCGTCAGCCATCTTAAACCAGAAAACATACATCCGGTCTTCTATGAACGAAGCTTAGCCCCGATTGCACGACCATTCGCTTCTGATGTTAAAAGAAGTAATAGATCTTCTTCTTCGTGCTTAATTATTAGTGTTGAAGGGGATCGAGTTTTATCTGCCAGTGGGTTTGAACTCGAGACTTTGTTCGAATTTATCAACCATGAGCTTTTTGCCGACTCGACCACGCCTCCAACACAATTAAGCGTTAGGTGTCAACTGGTTATGCGTCATTGAGGCCATTGACTCCGATTTCAGCCTGCTTTTCTTTTTGTCCAACCAAGAATAAACTACAAGGCAGCAGTTGTTTAATTTTGGAGTTGTCTCTCCTAGAAGAGTGGCTGTCCCCAGCTAACGAGCCTCATCTGCCCGAGGGTTCGAACTCGTGACTTTTCGGTAAAGCAACCATGAGCTTTACCGACTCGACCACGCCAACCTCTAGTAATTGTGCTAGTATAAGACCTCGACGAAAAAGAAAAGAATGTTATAGTTCTTTTAAACGTACAGCATAGAACAAAGTTATTATTAAATGCGTCTACACCGTACATTGTTATAAATTGTTTTTTCCAATTTAATTCAAAGTAAAGAACATTTTGAAAAAACTAAATAAGCAATATCTGCATTTACGTGTCATATTAGGTATGTCAACCTGCCGTAAAAAACGCTGTTTTCGCCCGCATAGCCCAAATATAGTAGCTTTTCACGTCATAGATTCTATAATAATAAACCGGTAGTGATCTCCCCTAAACTTTCTCGAATATTCTTATATAAAACAACAGGGGATGGTAACTGGGGATATAGTTATGATCTTTAATCCATTTTAAATACTGAAACTTTTAAAAAATTCATAAAAAACGTTTTAATAACAAGCTTTTATGTAATGATGCACTAAAAAGTAGAAAATAAATTATAGACTACTATTTAAATAACTATAAAGAAAAGCGTGGGTCACTTTAGTATCTATTGGATACCTTTACTAATGTTATGGAAGACACCCACGCTTTTCTTTATAGTTATTTAAATAGTAGTCTATAATTTATTTTCTACTTTTTAGTGCATCATTACATAAAAGCTTGTTATTAAAACGTTTTTTATGAATTTTTTTTTCAGTACTTTACATGTTTTATCTACAATAGAGTTACATGACTAAAAACCATTGCGCGCCTACTGAATATCACGTTCAGTAGGCGCGCAATGGTTTTTGAACGCAGCCATTACGTGGTCGTGATGGCGCAGCTATTGATGACGCGTATGGTGTGGTTGGCTAGACATGCCTACTAATTCGGTCCAAATTTTAATTAATTCATAAAAAATCAATTAGGCATCCAATTAAGTCAAATTTAGTTTCAGATTGCATTGTCTTCATGTCTTGACCCACGTGCCAACTGTGAATCGTGTCGGTCAAGTAGAACTGTCCGAATTTTCACTCATGCGTTTCCGTCTGGACTGACGACAGAGGAAGTGAGTTAAATAAAAGCTTGTAAAAATAGAATAGAATCTCAGTAAAAAACAATTGCGCACCAAGCGAACGCCTAATAAAGGTGTGTATAATAGTGCGCAATAGTATTAGTACTTTATAAATTTACATTAGTTTTTTGAGAAATCGGAAGTAGCGTAAAGTACTACTTCCGGTCAACGGAAATTACTCAAAATTTAACAGAAGGTAGAGAATTAGATCTTTTACTTACATGTGAAATTTCATTTATCTATCTGAAATAGTACTCAAGTTATAGGCTTTTGAAAAATTCAAAGTAGAAAAAGTACCACTTCCGGTTATCCGAAATCGCTCAAAAGTTGATACGGATCTACGATTTTGATATAATACTTGTATATGAAATTTCATCAACCTAGCTGTAACGGTACTCAAGTTATCGTGTTTACACACGGACACACACACACACACACACACACGGACACACAGACATACGGACAAGATTGCAAAATTATGTTTTTCCGTATCAGTGAGATGTAAAACGTCGAGATTTGCAAAAATCTCGATTTTTTTTTTTGCACGATTACAAGACTTTCTCTATACTTCGTATATACGAGAAAGTAAAAAGTGCTCGTATAGTAATAAGCTTTGTATTATTAAAAGTAAATTTTAATCTCTAACTCTGCGTTATTTCTATAATTGTTGATATTACATAATATATCTCACCCCTCATGCCCGTGTGATGGCTGTTTATATCTGTTTTCTGTTTTATATCTGTTGTTTGTTTTATATCTGTTGTTGGATTCTTCTTGTTCTAGAGACGAGGACAGGGTCAAGGTCTTGTTTTAATATCCTTTGTTTGGTTCTTCTTGTGCTAGAGACGAGGGCAGGGCCAAGGTCTTGAAGATGTCCAGCTGGAAGAAGATGTCCCGCTTGAGCCATCACGTGGAGGGTCTGGAGCCGGAGAAGCCGTACGTTGCTGACGTCAGGAAGGTGACGTACAATGTGTGCATGGACAAGCTGCTGGTGGAGGGGGCGTCCACGACAAACGCCAGGAGGTCCTTCTTCAACGCCTTCGTCAGGTGTAAGGTGAGGGGTGGTTGTTAGGTGCAAGGTGGTGAGGGGTGTTTGTTAGGTGTATGGTGAGGGGTGTAACGTGCAAGGTGAGGGGTGTTTGTTAGGTGCAAGGTGAGGGATGTTTGTTACGTGCAAAGTGAGGGCGTTTGTCAGGTATCTGGTAAAAAGTGTTTGTCAGGTGTGTAGTTAGAGGTGTTTGTCAGGTATAAAGTAAGTCGTTAGTCAGGTGTCTGGTGTGACGTGCTCATCTAGTATTTATCAAACTATTTTGATTTGCCTTTATATTAGTTACCATTCGTATAATATAACTGCTTATATAAAAACAATATATCTAAATGTGTATATTTTTATCTCTATATACACACTTGTTTGATTGGTAGATCCGCCAGAGCGAGGCTCTAGAAGAGTGCTGCGACGCGCCGTTCTGTGGCACCGTCTGGTGCCGACGATGTCCGGCCTGGAAAGTCTGGCTCCGAGCCACGCGCACCGTCCTGGTCATGTTCATCCTGGCGCTCCCCTCCCTCCCCTTCATGTACGCCATGACGGCCGAGAACATGGACTACCAGCAGATGTCCGAAGCCTTCCAGACCCGGGGTCTGACCCACCTGTTCAACTTCTACCTGGGCAAGACTCTAGGCCGTGTCACGGTGGGCGTGTTGGCGTCCATGTACATCCTCCACACCATCATAATCATCGTCGACGGCGCCACGGAAGAGGCCATCAGCAAGCTGTACAACGAAGTTCTGGATGTTTCCATGAAGAAGAAAACCCTACACGGTCACATCAAGTGGACTAGAAAAACGATCCGAAGATTTTGTTTCCCCGTGAGAAAATTCGGAGTTTTGACCGTTCCTCTGTTTTTCCTGCTCTCGTTGGTTCTCGTTCCTGCGTATTTCACCCTTTCCATGATCATCCAAGCCCCGACGCTGCGTATTTTCATCCAAGCCGTTAAAATGAGTTTTCAACGCAGCCGGAAATTATGCCATTCCTCCACCCACGGTTTCAAGTTTTTCAGCTTCTGTCGCATCTTCGGTTTCTTCGTGTCTCTCATCTTCGTCTTCATCGTACTCACCATCGGCACCAACTTCCTAGTTCACGTGTTGGCGATGGTCATCGTGACTGTGGTGGTGGAGGCCGACTTCATCTACCGCGTTCTCCCCGTGGTGCTGCTGTTTGTGGTCTACATCCGGGACTCGTACAGTCAGGTGGGGGAGAAGTACGACCTGTTCTTCACCTCCCTCCTCAACACCATCAAGCAGAAGGAGGCGGAGGCTATCAGACGGGAGTGTCTCAAGTCACTTGACCAGCAGCAGAACAAAATCTTCCAGATCGTTCCGGAACCCTTGGTGCTGGATGACAATGACGACATAGAGCCGGCCGTGAACCAACAGATAGGTGAGTACTTCATGCCCTCCATACACGTGCAGTCATCTCTTGTGGGTCGGTATGTTTGAATAGACGCAGCTGATTGAAACAAACTCGTGTGTTACACCTCAAGAACTATTGCACTGGTAAATAAATATTCGGTTGTGCTTCATTAATTAAGTGTAGTTGTATAGAAGTTCTAGTTATTTAAAGAACTTAAACAAATCAGTAGATGACAAACAAAACCTTAATCTGGCTGTGGGGGTACATACAAGGGGGGAGAGGACAAGACGGGAGTCACGTGATTTTTATCCCCAGGCTCTGATTTCCATTCTGGTGTGGGGGAGATATTTTAACGTGTTAGGTGATGTGATAACATTTAACACCAAAGCGCAATATACAATTTAGAAATAAATAAATGTAGATGATAGTAATATATAATAATAAATGCAACAACGTATGCTATCTTTGTTTATTAAGCTTATACACATTGCAATGTTCATGTAGTTAGAATTGTTTAACATGGATTTACTTCCCGTTTGAAAATAATACAAGGGAAACAACTGTTAACTTTGTACATTTATTAAAAGAGGGAAAACCAATAGTAACACAATAACCAAAGGACAATTTATTTTTAATTAGTAAAAACATAACATAAATTAATATTATATGCTGTTCTGATTACAGCTACCCTTCCCACCTTCTATAATTAATTTTTGACATTAAGTATATTTGTATAAGGTATGGTTAACACTTTCAATATATACTTATAAATATTCTGGTTATTTTAAATTTGTGTTAGGTACTTCGTGAGAACTCTGGTATTTTTCCTGGTAAACAAATCATCTTTCACACAGCAACCTTTTGAAAACTCAATGCGACCACTACAACACCCTTTCAACTAGTCAACTTAAGTTGTTTCCCTACATAGAAAATGCTTCACTGTCCCATTGACCCTCTCTAAAAATTTCCTTTCCTCTCCCCACCCAGACTTCTGACACTTTCATTTGACCTTTTACTGTCATCCTTTGCAATTTTTTTTAATCAAATACATGACATCATGTAAATATTAATTATGTACATTTGCAAAACCTTTCGTTTTCATTTGGTGTTCAAAATTATGTTACAAAATTTGATGTTGATGTACTTGTTTTAATTGCAAATAAAATAATTAAAAAAAAAAAAAAAAAAAAAAAAATTACATACCAAATCTAAATTTTTAAAAATTTAGATAAAAATAAAAAAATAAAAATTACAAATCTCAATAATTCTAAAATATTTTCTTCACATACTGTAAGATCTATTTTGTCTGAAAAAATAATGATCTGTGATTAGAAAGCCTTGATATACCCCTAAGAATCCACCCACCAATCTGAACTCACCAAAATTAGCCGTCTATGGCTTTCTACTTCTTTTATCTTGTATTTTGATTTAGACAATTAACTGGGGGCTGGCAGTCTAAAATATAGAACAAGAGGGTGGGCCAGTGATACGTTGCTAGGTAACAAGGGCTCTAAATTGTGTAGCATCGCTGTAGTTGTGTTCCTCTTCTTCTCCTACAATACCCCCTCCCCTCCCACCCCACCCCGTGATAATTGAACTGACTAACACTACCCTGGATCATCCCCCAGATAAACCAGCCAAGAAACGTCACTCTCTCTACGTCACGATGTGGCGAGAGCCTCCTAGCCCGGCCGAGACCAAGATCCACGCCCTGATGACGGTCAAGAACGAGGCGGTCAGCCTGTACGGCCGCCAGCTGGTGCTGTTTCTCAACAGGGAGGACATCCTCTACATGTCCAAGAAATTCTTCTTCCACTGTTGCACCATGGACTGCGCAGGCGCGCCGGGGAACCTGGTCGAGAACTACATCAAGGTAGGCGCCGTGTTAACATTCTCATCCAATAGGCATCGCTAGACACGGCCTGGAACGGAGAGGTCTAGCGGTAGAGAGCTAGACTGCTAACCCGTAAGTCTCGAGTTCGAATCCGGGTTCAAGTCAGTAGACCATCCCTGAGTCCACCCAACTCTGATGGGTACCTAACTCACGTTAGGTAAAGTAAAGGCGGCTGGGCATAGTGCTGACCACACTATCTCTTCGTATGCCGAGGTCACAGAAACAAGTGAACTCTACTTCACTTGCCTCATAGACCGTCAGGATTGAAAGGGAAACTTAGACACGGCCTGGCCGGGCTGTAGAACAGATGACGGCTAACCCGAAAGTATCGGGTTCGTATCGCAACAAATACATGAGTCCCTGATTCTACCCAGCTCTGATGGGTAGATTACTCACGTTGGGGAAAGTAAATATGGATACGGATGAACTTACCCAACTCTATTTTCGAATCTATTGGTCACAGTATTCTACTTTATCTGTTATATCCACTGTCCAGTGCTAAAGTGTAACTCTACTTCTATCTTTAATACTATAATAGGCATTCAAAAAGATCACTTAAGCATATTAACATTAAATATCTTAAAATATAACAAAATCTTTTCTTTTGAATTTTTTTTTTACATCAACTAACATTAATATTGTTAATTGGGTCCTTTTTACCCACAATGTTTTATTTAGATTTAAATTAAATTAATTTTTAATTATTTTCTATGCCATTGTTACTTTTTCTTAAATGTGGCTCTAAGGGGAATTAAAACTAGCAAATTAAAAAGCGTAATTAATAACTTGCTAATGAAGCATCTATTATATTTCCTGTGGCTGCAGGCAACACTGGACTTCGCCAAGGTGGGGCTGTTCCTGCTGTTTGTGTTCATGGTGGTGATGGCGTACGGGAGCGTGTACTACATCTCACCTGCCAATCACCTGTTTGTCACCTTGGTATCTGGTCTGGTGCCGCTCATCGTCAGGAATATTTTCTGTCTGAAGAAACCCGTGGAGACGGTCAATACGTCAAACTACAGGTGAGGTTTACCTGGACAGTTAGGTCAGGCACAGCTGTTAGGTCAGTTATAGCTGGACAGTTAGGTCAGTTTTAGCTGGACAGTTAGGTCAGACACAGCTGTTTGGTAAGTTATACCTGGACTGTTAGGTCGTTATAGATGGACAGTTAGGTCAGTTAAAGCTGGACTGTAAGGTCAGTTATAGCTGGACCGTCAGGTGTGTTATAGTCGGACTGACATGTCAATAATGGTTGGACGGTTAGGTAGGCTAGTCATATTCCAACATTTGACCGCCTTTTCTTTGCAAGCCAGTGTCCATGCTAGTTAACTATTTGAAGATAGGTTAATTATAGTCTAATTAAATAACTTTAAAACTCTATCTGGACTAAACACAGCGAGGCTATATGATAGTTAAATATCTAGCACGTTTTCATATTTGTAAATTTGTTTACATAAATATCTTTACTACTTAGGAACACATGCTTTTCTTTAAACTTTACGTATTTATATACTAACCCATATTTTGACTGACTTTTCTTTAAATTATAATACAGTTCTATACTAACCCATAATTTGACTGACTTTTCTTACATACAGTTCTATACTAACCCATATTTTGACTGACTTTTCTTTAAAATTATACATACAGTTCTATACTAACCCATATTTTGACTGACTTTTCTTACATACAGTTCTATACTAACCCATACTTTGACTGACTTTTCTTACATACAGTTCTATACTAACCCATATTTTGACTGACTTTTCTTTAAAATTATACATACAGTTCTATACTAACCCATAATTTGACTGACTTTTCTTACATACAGTTCTATACTAACCCATAATTTGACTGACTTTTCTTACATACAGTTCTATACTAACCCATATTTTGACTGACTTTTCTTTAAAATTATACATACAGTTCTATACTAACCCATATTTTGACTGACTTTGCTTGTCCAGGTTCGAAGCTCAGCTAAAAGATAAAATCGAATCTTTCGGTCAATCACTGGACGCTGTAGATATCGATCTCAGAGATCGACCGGTGCCTCTAGTCAAAAGTGCAGCAGACATGAGCACGTCTGACGAGGTCAACCTTGACCTAATTCTAGACCTGACCCCGTCTGAGGACGTGGAAGAGGATGAGGCTGAGCTGGCCAGGAGGAACAGGTACTTCTCGAGGGCTCGCTCGGACAGTGAGGAGTCGAGGGGGTTCAATGAGGAGAGGGGGAAGGGGAGGTTGGGGAAGCTGGTCAAGGGGAAGAGCTCAAGTGAAACTATAGTCTGAACACAGAACACACAGGACAGCTATAAACTTGACAGCACCAAATGACAGATCTCAGGACAGCTCATAGGACAGCTCATAGGACAGCTCAAGACAGCTCATAGGACAGCTATAAACTTGACAGCACCACAGGACAGCTCATAGGACAGCTCAAGACAGCTAACAAGACAGCTCATAGGACAGCACCACATGACAGCTCATAGGACAGCTATAAACTTGACAGCACCACAGGACAGCTCATAGGACAGCTCAAGACAGCTAACAAGACAGCTCATAGGACAGCACCACATGACAGCTCATAGGACAGCTATAAACTTGACAGCACCACAGGACAGCTCATAGGACAGCTCAAGACAGCTAACAAGACAGCTCATAGGACAGCACCACATGACAGCTCATAGGACAGCTCATAGGACAGCTCAAGACAGGTGCCTGTCCAGACATTATTGTACAAGAAAATGCCAACACCAGCAGCAAGTAAAACTTGGATGGCCCGGAACTAGGCGGAGGCAGCAATCTCTAGATGAGAACAGGAATATAAGCTTTTCAGACATATAAGGCAATTTTACCGTGCTTGACCCTAGTCTAACAAACAAAGTCGTATTCTGAGTGTTTCGACCCCAGTCCATCGTCACACACACAGAACATTGGATTTATACCTTGTTTAAAAAAATTGTATGTCTTATAATGTGAACTAAAGATGAACTATTTTTCTTCGCTAAATCCTTACCCTTTAACGTTCATGTTTGATTCTCAACATCATCTTGTGTCGTGATTTATGAATAATTTTTGCATATCAGCAAGAGTTTCTTCCAGTCTACCGCCCCCACCCCCCTCGCCCCCGAACGAGATGGAATTTTTTATAGAAAACATATACTTTTACCAATGTCCGCCCCCCTCCCCCCCCCCCCCCAAAAAATAAAAATAAATTACAAGTGCCCCCCCCCCCCACCCCGGAGAAAAAAGTCTGGAAGAAAACACTGATCTCAGCTAAATGTTTTCTCTCTTTTAATTATGTCATCAAACATGTGTCAAATTTCTCATCATGGCATTGTTGGTTTTATGACTCATCGACGTGTTGTTTTCTAAGTATTCTGTTGTACTGGTTTGAGTGCACGAGTCGACACGCCTTCCCCAGCTTTATGAGAAGATTCGGGTCACTCTCCGAAATCTCAGGGAGTAAATGTCAACCATTGACAAACAAGACTTTGATCACACTTAGAATTAAGACGTCAGGTTAAAGGTCAGAGCTCATCCTAATGGTCTTCAGTGTCAAAGGTCAATTACTGTTTTTTATTGCTCCGATCATAGATGTAAGATTTCGTTAAAACTTATTTCTTTCAACACTCAATCAAAGGTCACATTTTTTATGTTTATTTGTGCCATAGTTTTATATTCTGAACAACTTTATGTATGTGCTATAAAACTTTTTTTCTATGCTAATCTTGAAATTAATCGGAATGGTGTAGTCGAACGGTGGAGCGTTCTTCTACTAACACTTAAAGTCTCGAGTTTGGGTCCCTGACTAGAATCATAGGACTTTACTGAGTTAACCCAGCTCTAATGGGTACCAAACTTAGGTTAGGCCAAGTAGAAGCGGCTGGGCATAGTGTTGACCACACTATCCCTTCATACGTCGAGGTCACATAAACAGCGGAACTCTACTTAACCTGCCCCGTGGACCGCCACGTTTGAAAGGGAACTTACACAATTTTGAAATAAACACAATTATATATTTAGGAAAAAGGTATTAATGGCTCCCCCCCACATCCCCCCCCCCCCTTTCCCTTTCCCCTGCTACTGAAGCCGGTCCTCCGACCCCAGAACGAAATGGGAAAAAATAATATAGAAAGTATTATAAACTTACACCAGTGTCTGTCACCACTTCCTCACCCAGCAGAAATTACAGTGCGTCCCGCCTACGAAGGTTTTAAGTACCCCCCCCCCCCGGATAAAAATGTCCTAAAGAAAATATTTATTAAATTAACCCTAATTGTGTTACAGACTTTGTACATACAATTAATTTTTTAACTACAAGATTAATGTATTTTTTAATGCAATATTTTAGCACATCTGTTTTAAAAAGTGTTTACTAAGTCGCTTTATCATGTAAATCACTGCGATCATTGAGGAAAGTGACTGCAATATTTGGTTTCTTCCACTAAACTAGTTTGTCCGAACACCAGACTTTGACCTACCTCTGTCATATTCGCAATAGTCTCTTAAAGTGAAACATTTTTCCCCAACAGTAGATAAAAATTTAAATAACATAAACTGTAATTCATTTGATAGAATAATCTAGGAAATTTTTAGTCATTCATCTAATCATCTAATGAGATGTAAATGGACGTTTATATTAAAGAAAAATAACTCTTGAAATTTAACAAAGTTTAAGTCAGATACGATTACCTCCCCTAGCAACTTAGTGTAATGAATTTTGTTGTAGCATTTTTCAGTTGAAATCTGTGTTGTGTGATGTCATCATGTAATATCAACATAAGTCAGAAAATTAAGTCAAAAATGATTTACACCTGCACCTGTGCTTTTCTCTTTTGTGCTAATTTACAGCAACTTTTTTCCATTTGTTAAACCATGAATTGTTTACCATTCAATTGTTTACCATTTGATTGTTACATTCGATTATTTACTATTTGATTGTTTAACACTTTTTGTTCATCATTCTTTTTGCTTAATAGTTGACTTTTTACCAACTATTTACCATTTGTTTACATACAATTTCAGTGTAAATAAAACAAATAATAAAACACATTTTTCTTACGTTCATCATTATAAATATCACGTGATCAACTCTTACTTCAAAATATCAGTGTTAAATTGATACTTTTAAGTAGTTGCTAGTGTATAGTTTAAACCAATATGTTCCTACTGCAAACGACATGTGTCAGAGAACAGAGATCAATTGTCTACACAGTGTGTACATGTTTTGGTTAAAGGGCAGTCGCTCTAGTTGACGTACGAACATTAAATAAACATGTTACAGGCAGTAGAGGACATTCATCGCTCAATGTAAATAACAACAAAGCCTTAAGACTTTATAGAAAATTGTAAGAGTTTGCGATACAAACACGTTAGTTAAGTAATGTGAGATTGGTTGAAAAGTACCCTGACTATTCCTGAATCACCGAAGATTGTTAGGGTACTTGAACTAGCCAACGAACAGAACTTAAAGTGAGCTTAGCGATGACAGCTTACATACAGACGTAACATCCAGGGCGGTGTGGTTGTCTAGTCTATGGTGTGTAGGGTGCATGTCTTCACATCATCAGAAGGTGACGTGCACATAACATGAGGATGATGTACACATCACAAGAGATGTGTTGTCTACACCACAATACAACGTTCAACTGGAGAAGTTGGTTGACGTGTCAGTTTATTATTGGCAGGGTCTAGACTCTAGAAGGTTCATAGTTGCACACAGTGTTATAACATGGCCGCTGAATGCACCCACAGCGAAGAAATATATCACCACCGACAACTCCAGCCACAGTCAGGTTAAGCGGTAGGTCTACACAAAGGAAGGATGTGCTAAGTGGTCATCGTCAGCCACTAAAACTGCTTGGGCCGTCAGATGACATGGCTACTAGTGCATTTAGCTGATGCACATTTTCTACTTGTTTAGATTGCATAAGTACATTGGACTGTTATATCTGGATTTACTTTACTGGCTTTAGTTTTATGTATAATAATAATTAATGGTTATAACAGAGCTATGGTGGTTTCCAAAGACAGTTTTAAATAAGGGCCCATGCCAATTTACTTGATGCATATCGACTCACATTTATGTCATATAAATGTTACTATTTCTAATACACGTGTATGTGTTTGTGTGTGTGGATGTGTTTTAGAAGGGGCGATGACGAATTCTTCACCTGTTTCAGCGACCTCGGCATATGAGCGGATAATTTCTTCTGTTCTTGTTCAAGCTGTGTTGATATAGGTAAACATCACAGTTCGGTGTACTCAGATTATCAGGTAAGATGTAAGCTTCACCAGTAGCGGATTAAGGGGGGGGGGGGGGTGAGGGGACTGCAGTTAGAGCCCCCACATTTAAATGCTTAATTATTGGTTTTACTACAAAACTAACACACAGTTAATTATAAATACAAGCTGTTAACACCTCCTACTCAGACATTGTTTATATTAAGCTGACGCTCCCTATAACAATACAGTCCGGACCAGCGATCGCTTATGTCAATAAAATGAGTTTACTTTAGCGTTAAAAAACACAAACATTCGGATATATATATATATATATATATATATATATATATATATATATATATATATATATATATATATACATATATATATATATATATATATATATATATATATATATATATATATATATATATATATATATATATATATATATATTATAGAGGCCCCCAAAAAACTTCAGCCGGGGGCCCCGCTCAAGCTTAATCCGCCCCTGCCAGCGACCACACCAACTCAATATAATGTTGATTTATTTGTTAGCAAAAAACATTGACAAAAACATTGACAAAAAAATGTAGTATCAGGGATAAAAGTGCTTGTTTTATAAAGTTATATGCTTGCTAATCAAATTATATCATATATATATATATATATATATATATTTAAAAAATACGATTTTTAAGTAGTTTTTTAAAGAATTAGTAATCTATATATACAATTCTCTTCATGGGGACCATAGCAGACACCACGCATATTAGCCACCATCCTCATCCCCACCTGTCAGGTGAGCTGTGGTTCACCCCGAATGTTTACAATAGTAGAGCCGGTTCTGTTCGTATAAGTGACGGCTTCTAGGGGCAGATAATTTAGTTTTTAAACGATTTGAAACTAAGGGCAGATAACAAGTTCTGCTTGATATTTTCATTGTCGTCTGTAAACGGGGGGGGGGGGGGGGGGGGTGGAGGAGTGGGGGTGGGGGAGGCAGGGCGGTGGGGGGTAGTGTCGAATTCACAAATTATGAATTGTTTATAAATAGAAAATAACAACTATATACGGCGTATGCTACGTCGAGGGTCAGCTTGTGAAATTTAAAACATCAAATGCTAAAATGGATACATAATAACAATAATGTCATTGAAAACCTAGACAAAAAATTAAATGCCTGATTCATATGGTTAATTTTAGACGTGCATGAAGATACCAAAAAAAAAAAAAACCCCAAAAAAAGCGTTAGTATTTTGAGACGGTTAGGGTTTGCTTTATTTCGGGTTTTATTTCCGTATCAGGCTAAAATACAGGTTCCGAATAAAGTTTCGTTTTCTTTAAACTTTCATTCCATTAAGTCTCCGATTAAATTTTAGGTTGCGGTTAAATTGCAATTTGAGCAAAATTTCGTCTCCGGATAACGATCTGTTTCCGGTTAAATTTCGTTTCCGGTTTAAAATGTCCGTATCCGGATAAATTTACGTTTCCGCTTTTAATTTCGTTTCAGGTTGCACATCGTTTCAAACTACATTTTTATTTCCGGTTTTATGTCCGGATTAAGTTAAAATGCCCGTTCCGAATAAAGTTCCGTTTCGTTTAAAGTTTGTACCTGTTAAAGTTCTAAAATTTTTTCCGGCTAAATTTACAGTGACAATGGGATCAGCACTATGTCCAGGTGCCTTGAAATCTCTAGCGTGAGTAATTTGTCTTTACCATCCTACCAGCCCCCCCCTCCCCCACCCCCCCCCCCCCCCACCCCCCCCCCCCCCCACCCCCTGTAATCGCTTCCTTAGAACCAGACTGTCCTATCTTTTACCCGCCACCCTATAGAACCGTTTCTAGGGGCTCATCGGGAATTTTCCCCAGCCCATCACTGTATATAGGTTTATATACATTATATATATACATACACGGCTTATGCAAGATGG